ACATATAAATTTATTATTAAAAAATAATATATTATTGCATGTGACTAAAATCTAATTTAAAATCAATATTTAATAAAGTAATTAAATAATTATAAATTCTAAAATATCCATTAACATAAAATTGACACAATGTAAAAGAGATAAAAATATAATTTTTAATTGAACCTTACAATAGGAATTCAATTATTACCAACAGGAGAGTGGCCTAGCGGTACCAGGCTTCTACTTTTCAAAGGAAGGTCAGGGCTCGAGTGGGACATCTGTGTGTGAATACCAATTAAGAAAAAAAAAAAAAAAAACTTCAATTATTGATAGATGTATTTCAAACTCCTAAAATAATATCAAAATCAAGACTATTTTTTATTACAATTTACTAATATTTTATTTATTTATATATTAGAAAAATATTTATATATTATTTATAAAATTAGAAAAGATGTGGGAACTAAATAGACTAAATTATTTATATTTTTTATATATTTGTTTTAAAATATTTTATATTTTCTTATGTAATTAGATTTCCTACTACTACTATTATTATTAGTAGTATTTTCTACTACTATATTATTAAATAAATCAGAATAATACTTATATTTACTCTTTTAATTAAATTTTCATTTACTGAATTTTAGTATTTCCCACTACTATATTGGTATTAGTATTTTATTCTCTAATTATATTTTCCTTTATTGAATTAAATAAATTATTTTTTAATATTTTAAAATTTTGAATTGAATTAGATTTTCTTTGATTGAATTTTAGTAGTTTAATTTTTTAATATTATATGTTTCTTTCTCGACTTAGGTTTATCTATATTTATATATTTTCTTCTCTAATTAAAAATAAAACACTACAATGATTTAAAATAAAATAAAACATTACAATGATTTAATAAGATTTTCATAATAAGTATCGTCCTTTCTCTGCAAAGCTTCACAAGGTGGTGTCACTTTTTCAATTATCTCTGCTTGTGTAATCTCCTCATGTTACATGAACCTGCATGATTAATAATAAAAAAAATTTAGCATTACAATTACAAAATCTAGACAATTAAAATATAGAAACATTGATAGATAAGAGAGGTTAATAAAGTATATGAGACTATCAGTAAATTCTTTTAGCACTAAAACTACAAATTTTATACAAGAAACAGATATTGAAAAATTAAAATATATATACACACAGCATAGGAGAACAGATATTGGAAAATTAAAATCTAGACACAGGACAGGAGGGATTTGGTTTTAGGGGAAATAGGATGGTAAATTTTAGTTGTTTAAGAATTTTTTTTATAATTAGATTTTGTGTTTTTTTTTTTTTTTGTTGAATAGTAGATTTTGTGTTAAATATTATATATAAAAATGGTTACTTTTCTAATTAGATTTTTTATTTTTCTAAATAGGTAATTTGTGATAGAGTTTTATAGAACTCTATGATTTGAAAATATATTAAAGTGTTATATATATATATTTTTATATATTTCCTTTATATATTTTCTTGTCTAATTAGAAAGACTAAATTATTTATTTTCTTTATATATTTCATTTATATATTTTATTGTCAAGACAAGAAAATATATTAAATATTATATATTAAAGTGTTTCTTTTTTCTAATTAATTTTTTTTTCTAGTTAAGTAATTTGTGATACAGTTTTATAGAAACTTTTTGAAAGACTAAATTATTATTATTTTTTTTATATATATTTCTTTGTCTAATTAGAAAGATAAGAATATATATTAAATATTATATATTAAAGTGTTTCCTTTTCTAATTAGGTAATTTGTGATAGAGTTTTATAGAAACTTTAAAAAAAAAAAAAATTTCATTTGAGTTTTATAAAAACTCTTTTACAAACTCTAATAAGACGTATATATTTCTTTTATATATTTTCTTGTCTAATTAGAGAAACTAAATTATTTTGTTTTCTTTATATATTTTTTTGTCTAATTAGAATGACTAAATTATTTATTTTCTTTATATATTTCCTTATCTAATTAAATTTATTATTAAAAAATAAAGTACTTTTCTTGTCTAATTAGAAAGACAAGAAAATATATTAAATATTATATATTAAAGTGTTTCATTTTCTAATAAGGTAATTTATGATAGAGTTTTATAGAAACTTTTTTTTAAAAAAAATTTCATTTGAGATTTATAAAAACTCTTTTACAAACTTTATTAAGATGTATATATTTCTTTTATATATTTTCTTGTCTAATTAAAGAAACTAAATTATTTATTTTCTTTATATATTTTTTTGTCTAATTAGAAAGACTAAATTATTTCATTTCTTTATATATTTCCTTATGTAAATAAATTTATTATTAAAAAATAATGCACTCTTCTTTACTAATTAGAAAGACAAGAAAATATATTTAATATCATATATTAAAGTGTTTTTTTTCCTAATTAGATAATTTGTTGTAATGACCCAAAAAAATACCAAAATAATAATAATAAAATATATAAAATTTCGGCAGAAAAAGTCCCTTTGCAACCTCTTGAAATATATAAAAAATGCAATGGCCTCACTGGCCTTAAAACTAATCTATCATGTCCCAACGCACAATACAATATTATATCACATTCCCAAAATGTTTACATACACATAAAAAAAATTCCGTTCCTCCATCTCATCCAAACAAGGAATACACCTTAGTTACAACAAGTTACAGTCCATAAAATGTAGTTAAAATTTAAAAGTTCATAACTTACAAAATTATACTAATTAAACTAAAGTTTCACAAAATAGTTAAGATTGCATTTATAAAATATTAGAGTTCTAATACAAAAGATAGCAAAATAAAATACATCGCCAATCTCGTCTAAATTTGTAGTGGATCGTCGTCGGCCACCTCTTTTTCGTGTCTTGAAAAATGTTAAAAAAAATAATGGGTGAGCATAAACTCAGTAGGAAGTGTCTAAGACACACTTCTTATATCCCCGTGAATTTCACACAAAGAATGGACAAAAAAGAACGGTGTCATACCATGGGGAATATATATTCTCAACCACAACAACAAGTATGTAACAAAAATGTTATGCAAATGTCGCTCCTTATTTCTGAAACAATTCCGTTTTAAAAACCAAACCGTTAACGTAATCCGACCCAAGGCGTTACGAAATGAAGGTTGGTTAACTATCCACGACCACAAGGCACCTCCAAGGTGTCGCATCCGGCCTAGTTAACTCAACTACATTCCGTTCTAAACTATACCAACATCACGGACCACTAGGCGCCTCCTAGGCATCCGGTTTTCGCAACACTTTTAGAAAATATTTTCCCTAAAACAATTTCGTTTGTTCTAAAAATATTTTTCCTCCTTTCTCTTTCCCAATGAATGTATGAATGCTTGTGCTTCCATTTATCAACCCAACCATATAACTTTCACACATACTATACAAGGCAAATTTATAAACTACATGATGGAGCTCTCATTTAATATTAACTTTGCATAACTAGCATGTACAATATGGATTCAATTTCATATAAACATGTAAGCATGCTAAATCACCTTAAAACAATTAATAAGTAGTCACATACATTCCATACTTATCATTTAAAACAATTCTTTGTAAGAATTAACACTAATTAAACATGCTATGTATCACTTTAAGCTAGAAAGTCACAAAAATACAAGAATTCATGCATTAGAACATTCCTATCTCAAATTTGTAGAAAAATCCTCAAAATGGGTCTCAAATTCGAAATCCTAGGGCAGGCCAAAAGCTGAAATTGTTTGTACTCATACGTAGATCTCGCCATACTCTCTGTTTTGCCACAAACGGCTCCCAAAAATCTCAAGAGACGAGGAAGTAATCAAATTTTGAAGTTTAGCAAAGAAAAGAGAAAGAACAGAGAGAGAAAGGGCATGGAGATAGAGAGAATGAGAGGCCAAGAGATGATGGTCTCTTGGTCAAAAATCTAAAAGATAGTGGTGGTGGGTCCCTCAACCACAAAATTTCCCAATATATATATATATATATATATAATAAATCATAACTTTACATTTGTGATAGAGTTTTATAGAAACTTTTCGAAAGACTAAATTATTTATTTTATTTATATATTTTCTTGTCTAATTAGAAAGACAAGAAAATATATTAAAGTATTTCCTTTTCTAATTAGGTAATTTGTGATAGAGTTTTTTTTTTTAATTTTTATTTTTATTTTTTTTAAAAAAAAAGAACAAACAAACATTTGAGTTTTATAAGAACTCTTCTAAATACCTTATATTAATTAAAAAATAAAAAATTCATAATAAATAAGTAATTTATGTTAGAGTTTCATATAAACTCTTTTACAAACTCTATTAAGACTTATATATTTCTTTTATATGTTTTTTTGAGACTAAATTATTTATTTTCTTGCCTAATTAGAAAAACTTAATTATTTATTTTCTATATATATTTCCTCATCTAATTAAATTTATTATTAAAAAATAATTTACTGAAACTCTTTGTACTTTTTAATAATATATTGTATAGATATAGAAAACCATACCAATGAAAATTGTTCATAAAATACCCATAAAATGTTCAAAAGTATATTCACCAAAATTTAGAAAAATACTCGTGAATTTAGAAATATACTCGTCAAAATTTTAAATTTATATTAGGGCTGAGAAGTTATAATTTTAGATTCATATAGTAAATTAAGTTATAAATGCAAGGCAGAGAAAGAAAGGTAGAAATGAAGATAGAAACGAAGAGAGAGACGGGGGAATTGGTGGGGAAAGAGAATCCAAGAGAGTAGAATTGAAGGGGAAATAAGATGAGGAGAACGCAGAATCAGAGAGAGGATGTGAATGCTGTGAAGAGAGATGGGAATTGATGGGGAAAGGGAATCCAAAGAGATGGAATAACTTTATTGTAAGGTAACTTTATTTTTTCTTTATAAAAAATGTGTGTAAAACCAAAAGGAAAGAAAAAGAAATTAAAGATGCCAGTGCATTTTGTAGTGGGCAATGCGGAGAATAATTTGGAAGCTGAGGTGGGAGGCTCTATGTATCATTTCCCTAACAATAATAGTATAGCTGCAGATGTGTATATGTAATATGTAGTTCAGAAGCAGATGTTGAAGTATTTTTCAGGGATTGTCATGTCAATCTTTTGTCTCTCATTGTTTTCTCTCCGATCTTTGATTTGATTCAATCTCGTCGTCAAAGAGTTAAATTTATCTTAATTCCTCAGGTCTCCTCAGCCGTCCGGTCCGATTCCCACAACTCAAGAAGATTTTGGTTTTCCGTTGGCCTCTAATAACCCTAGGTGACCTCTCTCTCTCTCTGACTTTCAATTCAATCCTTCTATATATCATGCACGAACCATAATGTTGCAGCTTTGTTCAAATATGTCTGATTCTTTTATTTATTTATTTATTTATTTATTTTGTCATTAGAAATGTCTTGCTGTCTTGATGTCTTGCGATGGATTTTTGGCGGGAAGAAGGACGAAGAGCTTGAAGAAGCTACAAGTAGAAATTGGAACACCTACTCTCAGATTAACCTATCAGATACACAGACCGGGTATGGAAGCTGTCGTTCGTTATATTCAAGCAACGATAGCATCATGATCAGCCAATACGATCCACAGTTTCACCTCCAATCAGATGCACACCAAAACTATTCGAATTCATCCAAGTTTCCCCGGACATCAGTCACTCCCACTGATAACACCAGCAGAGGGATCAGTTCAATTAAGCCAGGGAGTTGTAGTGTTGAAAGAATTTCAGAGAAGCCCCGGGAAATTTCTCGGCCTTTGCCTCCATCACCCTCCCCATCACATGTCTCTCAAAGCAAGGCCACAAACCCTGTGATCAATAAACCAAGTGAGCAAGGTTTGCCACGCAATGCATCTCCGTTTTCCTCTAAACCATCTCCATCTTTGTCTGAGCCGCCTGCTTATTCCTCTAAACAATCACCGCATTTGTCTTCTTCTGGACGGCATTCATCACTCCCGAAACCAACTCCAACATCGTCTTCAACTTCTTATGGAACACCTTCATCTTCCTCGAAACCACCTCCACTTACCAATAAGCCGACTTTGACTCTGGCTTCGCCTAGTCTGACAAATCAGCGGGCAAATAACAATTACATTCGGGTTGATAAGGGTGCATCGCCGATTTATGCGATTCCTGAGGATATCAAAGGTTTGATTGAGAAAGACATTGTACCTGGCGTTCTGAGGAAGCCTTTGTCTACATCGACATACAAGGATTACTTTGAGGCTCTACTTTATGCTGAGGACTACTACCTTGAGGTAATGAAATCAGTAGCCAGTATACATATACACATATTATATAATTATTATCAGCTCTGCCATAAACCGGATATGTGCCTCTGTATACTGTAAACTAAAAGGCTGGATATGAAGCCATGCAATTATATTTTAACTCATGAGGACGTTTGATGTGAAAATGTTTACCAAAAAACAGACATTTGATGTGAAACAATCTTCAGTTGAAAATAAACTAGGTCCAAATGATTTCAATATAGGCGGTCATGGCTTCGGATTAAACCTCTTGGTCTTGTCAGTAAAAAATTGCATTTACAAAACTATCGCTTTACCGTACGAGCCGTAGGTTAAACTATCTTGACACACCTGTATGTGCAAGAAATTGATCCTAAACCACCAAAAAGATACTGATGGTTGCTCAATGCAATCTTCAAAAGTTTTGGAAAAAGTGGAGGAAAAAACTCAACAAAGAAAGTCTATTTGATTCGAGAAAATGAGGTACTGCACCAGTATAAATCGATCAATGACCAGCTTGGTATCTGGGTTTGGGTTTGGGTTTGGGGAATTGTTCACTTGAGTTGGCGACGTCATGTTGACAAGGCTGGTAAACTTTACTTTGGAGAAACGTTATTATGAATTTGATAATTTGAGTTTCCAATAGAAGAATGGGCAAATTTGATAGTTGATCAGATAATTGGAATGTTTCAAATCAGGTGTCAGAAGTGAAATAAGAAGCATCTCCTCATGTGCACATGAATTTCTATTAGGTGTGTCACCTTATATATTTTTTTGACACTTGAACTGAAATTGTGGCTCTAATGATTATGTCCTGATTAATTTTTCTTTTTTAGCATCAAAACTTCTAGTTGTGGGGTTTGTATTACTAGGTCTCCTTAGTTAAACCTTCTTGTGTGCCGTTTCATCCTATGTCTTTACATAGCTTATTCAACAACTATGTTACAACTTAGTTGTTTGATGATGCTGCATTTTGTCACAAGGCTTTTGCACTAGCAATACACCGCGCCCCCAAAAAAAATTAGTGATAGTATTAGCCTTCAATTTTAACCCATCCAAAGCCCAATATCTAAGCCACAATTTTAAAACAAGGGCCCAACCAAATAGGCCCAAGCCAAACAAGCTTTAACAATCACTAAGCCAAAGTACAGAGAACTCCTAAATTCTTAATCTTCGCACAAATCAGAGAGCTTACTCCTTCTCTCCCTCTAACCCTATTTCTTCTAAAATTTTCCAACTCTTTAATCTTTCGATCCCCAATTCCCCCTTATTTAATATTAGTCCCCCACCTTAACAATTCCTAGATTTGCCCTTAGATACATGAGGGGTGCATAGGATCCCCTTCACGGGGGGATCCGGATAAAGTCTAACAACCCTTTAAAATTTTCCCGTCACTACTAATTTTGGATGGATGTCTCCTATAAAATAACAATTTATCGAGAACAATGACGCACATCCAGAAACAGAAATCATATGGAAACCAAATAATTCTAATGCCTCTACACGAACTTAAAACGTGTCCTTTCAATTATTCTATTATGACATAGATGGGACAGATATTTGGATTTCATTATAGAACATCGTTAAGGTTTTTTTGGCTTCATCTTTGCAGGATTGATATCTTCTTTGAGGATGGTTGCAGACATGCCTCAGTTCAATATTACTGGATGCCATAACGTACATTTTGGCTCATTTGGCTGTCTTTTGGAAATTCAGTCAATGAGTTTTTCTATATATATATTTAGATTATTCATCACTTGGATGAGGCAATTTTAAAAAATAGATTCATCGCCTCAACACTTGATGTCTTAGTGTTGGCAAATTTTCGTTTTCAAAACTCTCGAGTTTTAGTTTTAGTATCTAGTGAATTAGAAATTTAGAATGTCATAGTAAAGACGTTTATAACATTGAAGATGCCTGGCGTGATAAGTTGGTTTTGAACAGTGATTGTACTCACGTTCAGGACACGTGCCTAAGCATGCATAAAAATGTTTCCAAAACATGTTTTATATCTTTAAAAAAAAATAATAAAAATAAATAGAACAACATTAAGGGCGATTTTGACTCCCTATAAAGCTTTGGGAGTGGGGAAAGGATCCTATTATTCTTAGAGGTGGATCTTTATTGGAATGAAGACCCCAATTTAAGGCTTTTATTTTATTTTCTTCTGTTTTGGGAGATAAGGGTGGGGATGAGGGTGGGCTTCCAGAGGTAGATCCACTCCTGGTGATCATATATACCCGACAATAAAAGAGTTTCCCATATATTTGGGAATGTCTATCCATATTTTTCTAATCATTTGCAATGCTTCATCATCTCTTTTCTTTATATATATATAAAACTTCTACACTAGCATGGAATCTTTAGTTTCAAAATGGGACAATTAAATTGCAACGGGTGCCACACTATTAATACTTCTTGTAGTACGTTTTATGTTTTTGCGTGGTGGTACGGAATAAAACATGTTTTTATTTGGATCAGAAATGGGACGGATTCAAGATGGAGAATGTGACTCTGAAATTGCATGAAGCAGCAATCTACACTAAGAAAGGCAAATACAAAGACTTGAATAAGTTGGATGAAAAAGATGATAAGATCTTTGTAGCATTTGAGATTGACTCCATTCCTGAGAGGCGGCCATTCCTTTTATCTAGGGACTTTGCCTCTGTAAGGCCTTCAGGCCGAAATGTCGAGCCATTTCAGGTTAGCCTTCTGAACTTCTGCCTACCAACTTTTGAGGATATATCACATTTTTAGATTACAGATGAAGCAATTTAAATCTTTGGTTGAAGGTTTAGAAATGACTGGAGTCATAATAAAATTTGTGTTTTGTATTTTAAAATTTACTAATCCATAGTAGAAAGCATTTGCATGGAGTGTCTGATATTATTTATCGCTCTTTGCGACAAGACTTGGATAAATATATACTCTATACTGAAGCAGCCAGCTTGTCATGAAATTGACATATGGTCACGAGTCACATCAGAAAGTTTGATTCAGCTGACCAGAGTTCATGTATAGTGAACATATACTTGTGTTTTCTACACACATGATGGACTGCTATGTGAATTCATAATTACGTCTACATGGAACTGTGCATCACTGAGCCACAGATTAAAGATTAAGTATTCTAGTAACTTCTCATGAGAAGTTAATAGTCCCAATACCAATTAGTGATTTTTTTTGTTTTGTAAAACATAAAAGCCATGCATTCTTGCTTGTTTGGTTTAGTTTTTTTGAAACAATTTTCATGAATTGAAAAACAATTTCTGATAACTACAAAAACAATTATCTTCAAATGAGGTATTAATCTTGTAACCAGTTTTCATAAACTTGTCAACTAAACAAATTTAAACTATTCTTGGAAAAGTGAAGTAAGTAGGACTTCCATCACATCCTGAAAATATATTGAATGATGGAAAATAGTATAGCCCTATTGTTGTTTTACATAATTTAGATATTCAATTTGCTTGTGTTTGAATCTCATTTCTTCATTACTCACTTTATCATTGGACTTAAAATTTGAATAGGGTATTATATATCGCGTGGTGAAGAGTAATCTTGTATTAGTTGAATTTGGAGAAGATTTTCATTCTCAGCATTACTCAGCCTGCAAATATACTGTCAAATTCTCCTTCAATAGAGTTTGTTTAAAACGGGCTCACCAAGCAATTGCAGCTTCATCGGATCCTTTGTTCCTGAACTTCCTCTTCCCTGATGTACCTAGAAACAGTCTCACTGCCTTTCAAGTTCTTCCCATCAATCACAAACTTGATGGGGAGAAAGTCTCTGCTGTTCGTCAGATTTTAGGCCTCAAGAGTCCCCCACCTTATCTCGTGGAGGGCTCGCTCTCTGTAACTGGAATGGTTGTTCAGCAAGCTGTAATCCAAATTTACAGGAGCTCCCCGTCTTGTCGGATTCTTATATGTACGCCTATAAATCGGACATGTGATGAGCTCATGATAGGCTTAAAGGAGGAGATTCCAGAGTCAGAATTGTTCAGAGCCAATGCTGCATTTCGGGAGTTGGATGAGGTGCCTCCTGACATCCTCACCTCCTGTCCCCTTAAAGGGGAGTGTTTTTCTTGTCCGTCGCTTCAGGAGCTCCGGAATTTCAAGGTGATTCTGTCCACTTTCATGAGTAGCTTTCGGCTGCACAATGAGGGCATAATGGCTGGTCATTTTAGTCATGTTTTTCTGGTGGATGCCTCGTCTGCCACCGAACCAGAGACTATGGTGCCTCTATCTAATCTGGCAAATGAGAAGACCGCTGTAGTAATAACCGGTGCACCAGGTAAGCGTTCAGGTTGGGTCCGCTCAAAGATTGCAAGGGAGAATGGATTGATGACTTCATACTTTGAGAGGCTCCGCAAGAGCAAGCTGTACGAGAGTCTCAATCCCAAGTTTATAATACGAGTGCCATGAACAAAAGATGTGCTGCTGGTATATCCTTTAATGAATTTATTGTGTAGTGTGTATATAACGATATATATATATATATATACAGAGAGAGTTGAACTGACTTGAGTTCTGTACAGTGGATTTCTGAATTGCTCTATTCCATATTATATTTTGTGTTTAAATATATAAATATTATGCGCTTTAATTCTGTCTTTTCTAGACCATAAGTGGACTTTGGTGATCATTATGGAAAAAAAAGAATATTTCATTCCAATAGCAGGTTCTCTATCTATTTGAATTGAAGGATAAAAGGTTCATTAAACCTAAATATATATGATTAAAAGGTCACACATTATAAGCTTAAAACAAATATGCTTAGACCACTCACTAGAATAAATCGGTCAGTTGAGTAGATGATGCGAGGGCAATTCTGTACATTAATGCCCAAAGATATTTACGTATAATTTAGGACAATAAATCAGTCTTCTTTCTGAAATTCAGTAAAATTTTATAATTTATCATATGGAATTCAGGCTTACTTTTCATGTAATCAATAACTTTAAGACCATGACCTAAAAAATTAGTCAATTTTATTAATGTAACTATCATGTTCCATTGTGTATACTATGTCACGCGTGACATTCACATGAGCACTAAACATCAGATCAGTGATTTGGCTCGCCAAAAGGGCCCATCACTAATGTGTGTGTGTATGTATATACTTAAAATATATACACATATTAGTAAAATTCACATGCAGCTCACATTTGAAGAATTGATAATATAAAGAGAAATTCACGACTATTTAGCAAGTATATGAGAAAAAATAATAAAAGGAAATAGATCTATTTCTATATCACCGGAAACAAGAAAGAAAGAAAAGAATATTGCTAAATAGATAAGAATGACAATAACAGTATCAAAAGCCGTTTTGAAAATCAATATAGGTTTTTATTTTATTTTATAACATAATGGATTGGATGAATATAATAATTACAAAAAAAAAAAAAAGAAAAAAAAGAAAAAAAGAAAAAAAAAGAGTAGGCAACTTTTGAGATAAGTTTCTTTTGGTAATAAATTATTATTACCAAATTAAATAGGCGCTAACAAAGTTCCAGTAAACAAATTAGTAACCAGCTCACAATTCACTTCTATAAATAAAAATAAATTAACCTCATGAAATTTGAGAATTCTAATAATTACATTTCTAAATTAAAGAAGATTTAGTTCAGAATTATATTTCTCCTAATTTCAATTCCGCGGTTAGGTGCTTCTAAACATAACTTTAGGTAAGGGTGCAACTTGGGTTGGAAAATCTGAATCCAATCCGAGCCCAGCCTAATTTTTTGCGGGCTTGGATAATCATTTTTATAATTAGGGTTGTGCTTGGTGTGAAAAATCTCAACCGTAATTGAGTTAGGGTTAGGCTTGGGTTGAAGTGCTAGCAACCCGAGCCAACCCGAATCCAAATTATAATATTATTTTCATATATATTTTAACTTCAAAATACATTATATATAATATTTAAACTATGATTATCTTTTTTTCTTTTCAACTTTCTTTGTTAAATCTTAACTTATTATATGTTAACATTTAGGAGACTTAATTTTCTAAGAATTTAATTGTTTGTAATTTATTAAAAATCTACAAAAAATCTTTGAACTTTTTATTGTTTAAGAGTAATTTAATCTAAAACTAATTCAAGATAATATTAAATTTTCGGTGTGAAGATTAGCCATATGAATAACCCGAATTAACCTGAAGTTTCAACACGAAATCTAAACCCGATTTTAAAAGTAGAAGGATGAGTTGGGCTCGGGTCTAATAGTTAGAGTTGAGAATAGGGTTAGCGTTGCGCTTGGGTTTAGCATTTCATATAGTGGGTTGGACTGAAATTATACCTCAAACCCGCCCAACCCGCCCGAGTTGCAGCCCTAACTTTAGGTATATTTACTTGTCCAAATTAGGATGATTTGGAATTTCAATTTTATTGGAATTAAAACTCAAAATAATTAAAATTCTAATGGGGTAAAGTGCATAAAATATCCCCAAAGTATACGCTACATAACACTTTCACTCTTTATTTTAAAAAGTATGTTATTAACCCCCTTATATATTCTTTAAAATTTGAGCATAAACATTCTTCAAATTACTTTTTGCAGAAATTTAACATAAAGTAATGTTGTAATGTTCGTTTCACCCTTTTACTCTTCTGAAACAGCCTAATGGGGTGTGTATGCTAATAAAATTATAATAAAGGGTGTTATGTGCACATTAATTAACACCCTAAGATAGGGGTGATTGAATACCCATTTACTTTTATTTTTAAAGTCAAAGTTGACTTTAACCATTCTATCCGCTCAACTACATGTACATAATTATACTAGGAAAAGGCATGTGTGGTGAATGTTTTTTAACTTATAGAATTTTGTTTTCATATTTGTTTTTTTTAATTGTTGATTTGAAGCTTGTAACAATAAACCTAATTTTTTGTAACTCTTTTAATATTAATTAATGAATATTTTTTTATATTAATAAATAAATACTGAAATATTTTGAAATTGGTGGTAGAGTTTGAGTTTTGTAAAGTAATAAATTCTTTTAGGATTTTATATTAATACTGAAATATTTATATTTTATTTTTTATTAATTAATAAAAAAATTTATTTTAATACTGAAATTGGTGGTAGAGTTTGAGTTTTGTAAAGTAATAAATTCTTTTAGATAATTTGAATTTTATTAGGTAATACTTAAAAATTTATATATATATAGATTTGAATTTTATTAGGTAATTTTAAAATTAGTATAATTTTAAATTTACAATAGAATTTCAATTATATTAATTTTTAATTAAATTTTGAAATAGAAATTCAATTATACTAATCATACATTAGATTGAAATTGATATAAAAATTTATGATATGGAGTTTGAGGTTTTTTTGGAAGACCTTAGGTTATATTTTATTTTTTTAAAATATATCCTTGTCTAATGTGACAGAGTTTTATAGAAAATAAAATAAATAATTTGTGTTAGAGTTTTATAGAAATTATTTTATTTTATTTAAATATATCCTTGTAAAATTAGACTTTCTTTTATTAAAAAAACTCATAATAAATAGATTAATACAGGAGTTATATGTCATAGAGTTCTTTTTTTATATTAAGTAATAAATATTTTTTATATTAAAAAATAAATACTCAAATTCTTTACACTTTTATATTTTATTTATATGTATTATTATATATTTTCTTGAAATATATCATTGTCTAATGTGATAGAGTTTTAAAGAAAATAAAATGGTAATTTGTGGTAGAGTTTTATAAAAATTATTTTATTTTATTTAAATGTGTCCTTATCTAATTAGATTTCTTTTTATTAAAAAAACTCATAATAAGTAGATAAATACACGTTATATGTGATAAAGTTTTAAAGAAAATAAAATAGTAAATTTGTGGTAGAGTTTAGATAATTTGTGTTAAAGTTTTATAGAAACTCTTTAAATATATTATTGTCTAATGTGAAATAGTTTTATTGAAAATAAAATAGCTAATTTATGGTACAATCTTATATAAAATATTTATTTTCTTTAAATATATATATTCTTGTCTAATTAGATTTATTTTATTAAAAAACTCATAATAAAAGATAATTTGTGGTAGAGTTTTAGAAAAATTATTTTATTTTGTATATCAATTATAAATTATTTTTTAAATTAATAATTCTTGTCCTGTTATATTTTCTTTTATTAAAAAACTCATAATAAATAGATAAATAGGTAATTTGTGTCAGAATTTTATATAAAATCTTTTAAAAAATTATTTTATTTTCTTTAAATAAATCCTTATCTAATCAGATTTTCTTTTATTAAAAAACTCATAATAAATAGATAAATACAGGTTATAGGTGATAGAGTTTTAAAGAAAAAAAAATAGATAATTTGTGATAGAGTTTTATAGAAATTATATTATTTTCTGTAAAAATATTTATAATAAAAAGATAAATACAGGTTATATGTAATAGAGTTTTATAGAAAATAAAATAGCTAATTAGTGGTAGAGTTTTATACAAATTATTTTATTTTGCTTAAACATATTCTTGTTTAATTAGATTTTATTTTATTTAAAAACTCATAATAAATAGATAATGTGATAGAGTTTTACAGCTAATTTGTTATAGATTTTATAGAAATTTTTTATTTTCTTTAAATATATTCTTGTTCAATTATATTTTCTTTTATTAAAAAAACACATAATAACTAGATAAATAGGTAATATGTGTTAGAGTTTTATAGAAAATCTTTTAAAAACTCTTTTGATTTGAAATAATAATAATTTTTATATATTAATAATTCTTATCTAATTAGATTTCCCTTTATTAAAAAACTCATAATAAATAGATAAATAAGTAATTTGTGTTAGAGTTTTATAGAAACTCTTTTAAAACCTCTTTTTACATCAATTAATAAATAATTTTTTATATTAATAATACTTGTCCAAATAGATTTACTTTTATTAAATAAAAAAAAAAACTCATAATAAATAGATAAATAGGTAATTTGTGTTAGAGTTTTATAGAAACTCTTTAAATATATCTTTGTCTAATGTGATAGAGTTTTATTGAAAATAAAATAGATAATTCGTGATAGAATTTTATAAATAAAAAAATAATTTTCTTTAAATTTATCCTTGTCTAATTAGATTTCATTTTATTAGGAAACTCAGAATAAAAGCTAATTTGTGGTAGAGTTTTATATAAATTATTTTATTTTATATATTAATTAATAAATATTTTTATATTGATAATTCTTATCTAATTAGATTTTCTTTTCTTAAAAATTTCATAATAATAAATAGATAAATAGGTTAATTTGAATTTTATTAAGTACATTTTAGATTTTTATAGAGATTTTTTTTTTTTAAAAAAAAAAAAAAAACTCTTTTCATATCAATTAATAAATATTTTTTATATAAATAAATAAATATTGAAACTCTTTCCACATTTAAAAATAGTATAGATAAAAATTCTTTGTATATCAATTAAAAAATATTTTTTTAGATAAATAAATACTGAAAATCTTTGGTAGAGCTACTATATTTTATAGAAAAAAACTCTTTTTATATCTATTAATAATTTTTTTTATATATATAATTACCTTTTATTAGAAAAAAAATCATAATAAAA